CACCTGAATGTCATATGCTCACGCGCATGCGTGTACGTCCGCCCGCTCGCACACACACACACACACACACACACACACACACACACACACACACACACAAACACACACGCACAAACACACCACTACTGACGCGGGACTAGCGAGTCGTGTTAAACTAGGTTGAGTGTATGCCGGTATGCGGGAGGTAGGTGAGTATATGCCGGATGACGATGATAACGTCATTCATATGATGTCAAATAAACTATGAGATATTAGTATATTGCCCATGACGTATCAGTACATGGTATATAGTATATGACAGACAAGCTATGAAAGACCGCAAGAGGTCTGGAAAGGCCAGTAAAACAGTGCCGTAGTCACTTGCGACCACTTAAAGCACACTCATTTATTTTATTTGTTTTATTTGTCCACATCGCTGCCTAACTGCGATCGGATTCCCCGCCGCATGCGGCCCGCGTTAGATTACACTCCAAAAGTCGCTGTGTCCCAGTGAGATATTCTTATCGGCTTACAGATTTTATCTGATGCAAGACGTACCTTCACTCCGGTCATCTCTGGACCGTGGAGTTCATTTCTGTCGGCATGTCGCAGGAGTTGCGCCACGGCGACGTATGGACCGTAGAAGATTGCACCGAGCAGAGTCCAGATGGATTTAGTCGGGCCGTAGCGACCCCGTGGGAGAGGTCGTTCGTGATTGTCGTCGGATTTGTCGAACAAATGTTCGATCATCAGACGCATGTGCGAAATGCCTGTCATGCGTGAAAGAGAAGTAGAATGACTTCACACGAGTTGCTGAGAACGAAGGCAGTGAGAACTCGATGGCAACGGGAGGCGCGGAAATCGGTCGAAAATTGAGCGAGATCTGCGTGGCATCTAAACCTAACTGTGACCAAAACCAAATAGTTATGATTTACCACCAGCGTATTCACTCACGCCTGGACCAACGATATCATTGCACCAGGAGTAAGATAATAAAGATATTCTATATTATCAGGAGTAGATCTACTCCTGATATTATCTTACTCCTGATTGCACCATGCAACAGCCGGGATGAGGAGTGACAGTACACCTAAATGAGCGAAGGCCCAAGGGAGTTGGTAGTAACTACGCGTGCCTTACTAATATATGGACTACTAATACACACGCGCGTGCGCGCACAGGCACACGCACGCACGCATGCACGCATGCACGCACCCACGCATGCGCGCACACACACACACACACACACACACACATATATATATATTTTCCACAATGTAGAAGACAGAATAATAATTAATTTTAACGTTTTCCTTTCCCGGCACTTGTGAATCAGGTGGCTGATGATATCAGGTGACTTTACCATCTCCAAGGCTATGGTGACCCCTCAGCATCATCGTATAACTCGACTGAGCAGATTCCATCGCCGTGGGGATGATGATGAGTTGCCATGGGGATTTCTTCACCGGTAGCTGCGGTTGATTGAGATCATTGACCACCTGGTGTAGCTCCACATCGGTGCGTGGCCGGCTGTCCTCGTACATGAAGATGTGATCGGCAAGGTCAAAGTGTTCCTCATATTTCCACACGTAGGCGCCTACAATGTGCAGTGAAAGCTTTAAAACAGGGACCGTCACCGTGGGCACGGAAAAACAACCTGTGCTACCTACTGGTTAGATAACAGACTGGGTTTTGACGCTTGATAAAATAGGAGTGCAGCATTCCCTTGTGTAGCAACCCCACCCCCTCTATTGATGGAAATTGGATCGAATTAGGGCCAAAGGTTAGTGCAGGCCTGTGGATCTTGGAGGGGGGGGGGGTGCAGTGCACATCTTCTGACCAAGTCTCAACTAGTCATAGTTCAGTGAATCTTTTGGCGAATTTTCTTCAATGATCACGCGTCTGTAATGTTGTAGACGTCGTTAACTCGTACCGAACGCAGTGTCGGCGTATTTCTCAAACTTGTCGAAGATGCGTGTCCCGTCGGCGGCTCTGTAACTTAGCACCCTGTCCTCGAAACCCTGTCGTACCACCTTAATGTCCGGCTCTCCCTCGATGTCAAGGATGGCGTTGATGATGGACCTACGGTGGAATATCATCCGCTATTAAAAAGCCGCAATACCTTTTGAAAAACCGTAAATAATAAATAAATAATCGTTAGAATAATGCTTGGTTGACGTTCACGCATTCTACGAATGTAGCCATCCGCTCCACTACTACATATATTTATTTTTCTCTATACATGTCATATTAGAGCCCACATGCTCCCGAGCAGTGACCCAGTAGAGTAATAATATTCAAACGTACTTGCTGGAGCCAACACTCCGGCGTGTGGCGCATGATATTATCGGTCATCACTGATGTACTTTACTATATCTTATACAACTAATCTGTAATCTTTCGCCAATTAATCGGCACCGCATGTAAAGGTACGTAAATAAACAAGTATAAAATGCACTATAGAAAAATCCAATCGTGTGGTTGGTGATAGTGTGTGTGCGTGCGCTTCTAATAGAACGCACAATATTTAAACAGTGATTATGGAAAAACAAGATCATTTATCTAGCTTAACACAACATAAAAAAAGGCGTGTTAAGGTCCTGATAATGTTATGCAGGGCGGTATGACACCATGTTTGTTTGCGCATTCAGGGCGAGAGGGGTGGAGGACTAGGGGGCTAGAGACTAGGGGGCTAGGGACTAGGGGGCTAGGGACTAGGGCCGAGATTAGGACCATAACGCAACCCTCATGGAATCAATACCAGCAAACAAGTGGGAAAAGTGAAGCGGTGATTTTTGACGATTTAAAACCTCCATTTTATCCATCATTTCCCAAATTTAATGTTCATTAGAGGCTGAAAATATTTGCATGAAGCACTAGAGTGAGCTGCTGACACGAACCTGCTAGCGTATTGCCTGCCAGATTTCTTGTGGCTAGTGCTTGATTTCAAGAATTTCGACCATCGATATATCTGTCAATACGCCGCTCGCTGATCTCACTGCCGCTTTTTCCCATATCTTAGCGCATTCACTGCTGTACAGCGAACAGCAGAAAGAGAGAGAGAGAGAGAGAGAGAGAGAGGAAGAAAAAGAAAAAAGAGAGAAAGGGCTAGAGAATGAGATAGAGATCAGAGATAGAGTAGATAGATAGAGTAAAGATAATAGATAGATTAGAGTAGAATTAGATAGATAGATAGATAGATAGATAGATAGATAGAGTTAGATAGATAACTAGTTAGAATTAGATCGAGCTAGAATATAAGGAATTCCTATTATCTGGCCGCTGTTTATAGATAGATAGATAGGATAGATAGCGCTAACAGCCGAGAGAGAGAGAAGGAGAGAGAGCGAGAGAGAGAGAGAGAGAGAGGAGAGAGAGAGGAGAGCGAGAGGAGAGAAGAGAGAGAGAGAGAGAGGAGAGAGAGAGAGATGAAGAGTGCGCGAGAGAGCGAAGAGAGACCAGGGCTGGTTTGAAAAATAGTGTTCGTGCTGTTTGACTCTACACGTTTGTTCTATAGATATTGGAATCACATACGCGCAAGCACGAACGCACGACGTCGCGGCGCAAAGACACAGAGCGTGTACACACGTACTTGTTGTCAGCTGTGTCTTGTAACCAAGGCATGTTTTCCCGGTTATTAACGCACCTTGCGGCATAGTGCAGTGGAGGTAACAGACGAGAGCATCAGAGAATTCCTCGAAGACGAGACACGCGAACGGGCACCGGCAGCGGAGAGAATCACACCGGCACCGTGTCAGCAAAGCGGCAGAAGAACCTGTCGGATTTCGCGCAGCATCTCCGTATCTACATATAAATGGGGCTCTAGCGGGCCACGCCACAATATATCTCGTCCGTGCAAACGACCGCTACGTTCACGTGCGTACGATGCACGACTGACGGATATGCAGGAGACGGGTACCGCGCGAATAGAGGTTTGTGTCTTTAGGACGATAATCCGGATAAAGGAGAGCTATGTCTAGACAATGATTAATGATTATATTAACTGTAACGGTGTGATGTTGCTATTGCCGATAAGACAGGTAAAGTCGTACGGCTCACTACAGCAGCCGTATACAGCACGTGTGATAGGTAGGGAAGATAGCGCTACTCTATCAGAAGACAGGCATATTAAGCAGACGTTTTCGCTCGCGAAGGAGTAATCGTATAACAATATCTTAGAACTAAGGCGCATAATAATAGCAGCCAGGTGAGTACAAGAGCATATCCAAGGTTGATTCCTATAGAGCCAATTATCATAATATCGCCCATCCACCCAACACACAACTCACTCCTCTACACACCACACATCACAACGAAACAATCACACAAATGACACACTCATGCCAGCACAACCCCTTCTCGATCTCCCACACATCCACACCTCACCACATCACAACACATGCATCACACACCACTCCCACCCACACACATCCAAACACACTACACACCCACAATCTACAGTGGTCCACACATAAACACACCGCGACACACTACTTGCGCAGCCGCACTCGCACGCAGACGGCCACGGTATCACACACACAACACACACCCACGTCTCGCCGCACACGCGCGTATGACTCCCACATGCGCGTTCACGCACGCACGCACGCACACACACACACACACACCATATACCACAATCTTCTTTATTAAACTATATATGTATATATAATGTATAATATATGTATAAGTATGTATACATTGTATCAGATATGTAACATGTTGTTTAAATCTGGGTTTAAATTAATTTGTTCTCGGATATAGCGGGGATATAGCAGACGCGCAAACAAATCTCTCACACCATAATAGCTGCTCTTGTTGTTGTTGTGAAAGTGCCGATATCTCGCGAGAGTACGCATCTGATGACGTTTCGATCGCTCATGGCGGCGCCCAGTGAACCCGATAGTGCTACTGAAGAAGACGACGACAACAACGTCACTAGCAAGAGAAAAACGCATTATCTGTATCTTATTATGAGCTATAGAAACACACTATGTTTCGCTGTATCATTTATAGTTACAATGGTAACTATGAACCCATACAAGTAAGTATAAGAACAAAATAGCGTCTTATCTTTAATTAAACATTACAGTTTTTTTACACTGAAATCTAGCTCTAGTACTATAGCCCGCGTACAGTAACTGCCGCAGGGCTATAGAACATTTTCTGCTAGATTTCGCAACTGTAACCTGTTACCACCTGTTCCCACGAAAAATGGATCGCAAAACGCAAAATGATCGGGTTTTTTAACACTTATTAGACTACATCATACATGGATATCTCACTTATCTTTTTGAACACTTTCCACAACTTTACACCAATCAGACCAAAAACAACAAACAGAGACCAATCAGAGCGAGTCTTACAATAGCCGGGTTCTCGCTGTGATTCTCGCTTGTATCTGTGGCGCTGCAGGAGGGCTGATAGACTCGCTCTGATTGGTCTGATTGTTTGTAAATGGCGAATGTAATTTACTAAAGTAAAATGAAGTGGGGTTTCTGAAAAACAATCTATTAAGAAGTGAATAACGATTGAAGTGAATGTATACACATATCAGTAGCAAGGTAAAGCCATGTAGAAGGGAACGGTTGGGGTTTTTTCACGCCAATAGCGGCGTACGGGCCGCATTAGCAGCGCATGCATTTTGCATGCGATCTCACGAAATTTCTGTTATATGGGACAGAATTATTCGGTCTAACCGAAATCGTAAACACAGAAGTGGCAAGTCAATGCAATTCTATTTTCGTGTTTATACGCTACAGAAATGAGTAATCACACAGTAACAGAGCCTTGCAGGGAATTGGCCACGTTTCTTGCAAAGGTCACAAACGCAGTGACAGTTACAGTTGCATGCTGCTAAAACATCTGTGACTGTGTCAGCAACTGTTGAACTGACAGCAAGATCTGATTGTGTCAACAAGACTAAGCCTAACAGTGTAACAGAGACGTTCTGCTGAATCTGCTGGTTAATTAGATTGCTGTCAACTTGCTACTCCTGCTAACTTGTCACTCAATGCAAACACCTGGATAATTTTTCCTGTTCGTCACATTCTGATTGAGGAAGCTTGACTGTATAGCATAGTGGTTTAGTGGTTTCTCTCAAATAATTATGACTGAATGATTATGAAATTGAGGTCATAATTAATACTCCCTGTCAAACACACTACACACCTGTCAAAGAGATGGCATGCAAAGCGTACGTGAGGTCAAGCCTCGAGTATGCAAGTAGTGTCTGGGATCCACACACACAGAAGGAAATTACCAGCAAACTGAGAGTGTTACACAAATGATCGCAGACCTACAATGGCCCTCCTTGCAGGAACGCAGGTTTGTCAACCGACAGGCCTTATTCTGGAAAATAATCAACGGACAGGCAGCAGTCGACATTCCATCCTTCCTCACCAAAAGCACCAGCATATGCCGCGGCACACACCGGCTTACATACAACAACAACATCAGAACCCGGACAGACGGGTACAAGTTCCGCTTCTTTCCTAGAACAATCAGAAGCTGGAACCTGCTACCGGAGTCACTATACTCATTAGTCCAACAGCACAGCAATTCACTGGGTCCCTCTGGCAAAACATTGAGTCAGGCAGTATCGTTGTGAAGCCACCTCGAGGAAGCGAAACACATCTCCGGCTGGGCAACTACAACAGCTCTCAACAGCCCATTGCCGTATGCTAGTCGCACTCAGTAATGAGTGCCTGGTCCAGGGAAGCCTCGATCTCTGGAACACATTACTGCCCAGGGGAAAAAATACACGGGGGCGGCGGGCGATTTCGCCCCCGAAATGCCAAAAAGAGCCCCCGAAAATACGATATCGGGGGCGACCCCAAAAGCAAAAGTCGCCCTGGAAATCGATTGTCCAGGTCGGTCCCGCGCCTTGCCGATCTCGCTCGGCCTCTGCCGCTAGCGGCAGGCCTCAAGACTCGCCAGTAAAAAATAAGAGTACTTCTACTTCTATACTGGGGCAGTCCGCTAAGCCGAAATAAACGATCCAGGGATCCGTGCGCGAAAACTCCAGTGTGCAACGTGATGAGAGATTTGCCATTGGAACATTTTGAAATGGAGGCCGTAATGTAGTTCCAGAGATCGAGGCTTCTCTGGACCAGGCACTCATTTACTGAGTGCCGCACGTAGCATCGGCAATTGCGGCTGCTTAGAGCTGCTTGTTAGTTGGCCCAGCCGCGAGATGTGTTTCGCTTCCTCGAGGTGCTCCACAACCGATACTGCCTTGACTCAATGTTTTGCCAGAGCCGGACCCAGGAATTGCCTTTCCACTCCTGTGCTGTTGCACTAATGTGAGTATAGTTGACTCGGTAGCAGGTTCAGCTTCCTGATTGTTCTAGGAAAGAAGCGGAAACCTGTACCCGTTCTGTCGGGGTTCTGATGTTGTTGATGTAAGCCGGTGTGTTGTCCGCGGATATGCTAGGTGCTTTTGGTGAGGAGGGATGGAATGTCGACTGCCTGCCTGGCAGCTCCGTGCATTATTTTCACAGAATACAGCCCTGTCGCCGTTGACAAAACCTGCGTTCCTGCAAGTGAGGGCCATGTAGTGTCTGCCGGGATCATTTGTGTAACACTCTCAGTTAGCTGGTAATTTCCTTTGTGTGTGTGGATCCCCCAGACATACTTGCATACTCGGAGCCGCTTGACCTTCACGTTACGCTTTGCAATGCAGCATCTCATTTGGACAGGTGTGTAGGTGTTGACAGGGAGTAATTAATTATGACCTCAATTTCATAATCATTCAGTCCATAATTAATGCAGAGAAACCACTAAAAACCACTTATGCTATAACAGTCAATGCTTCCCTCAATCAGAATGTGACGGAACAGGAAAAATTATCCAGTTGTGTTTGCATTGAGTTGACAAGTTAGACAAGGAGCTTACCAAGTTTGACAGCAATCTAATATAACCAGCAGATCAGCAGAACGTCTCTGTTACACGTAGCTTAGCTTGTTGCACACAATCAGATCTTGCTGTCAGTTCAACAGTTGCTGACACTAGTCACAGATGTTTTAGCAGCATGCAACTGTAACTGTCACTGCGTTTTGCTGATCCTTTGCAAGAAACGTCGGCGCCAATTTCCCTGCCAAGGCTCTAGTTAACTGCTGTGATTATCTCATTTCTGCTAGGGCGTATAAAACACGAAAATAAGAATTGCATTGACCTTGCCACTTCTGTGTTTACCGATTTCGCGTTTAGACCGAATAATTCTGCCCATTATAACAGGAAATTATCGTGAGATCGCGATGCCAAAATGCATCGCCTGCCTTAATGCGGCCCGTACGCCCTATTGCGGCCTTGAAAAAACCCCAAAACGCGTTCCCTTTCTACATGGCTTACCTTGCTACTCATATGTGTATACATTCACTTTCAATCGTTATTCACTTCTTAATTAGCATTGTTTTCAGAAACCCCACTCATTTTACTTTAGCTAAATTACATTCCGCCATTTAACAAAACAAATCAGCCAGCCAATCAGAGCCGAGTCTATCAGCCCCCTGCAGCGCCACAGATACAAGCGAGAATCACCAGCGAGCAACCAGCTATTGTAAGACTCGCTTTCTGATTGGTCTCTGTTTGTTTGTTTTTGGTCTGATTTTGGTGTAAAGTTTGTGGCGAAAGTGTTTCAAAAGAATAAGTGAGATATCCATGTAGTCTAATAAGTGTTAAAAAACCCGATCATTTGCCGTTTTTTGCGATCCATTTTTCGTGGGAAACAGAGTGGTAACAGGTTTACAGTTGCGAAATCTAGCAGAAAATGCTTCTATAGCCCTGCGGAGTTACTGTACGCGGCGCATGTCAGTAACTAGAAGCTAGATTTCAGTGTAAAAAAACTGTAATGTTTAATTAAAGATAAGACGCTATTGTTTCTTATACTTACTTGTATAGGGTTCATATTTACCATTGTAACCTATAAATGATACAGCGTAAACATAGTGTGTTTCTATAGCTCATAATAAGATACAGATAATGCGTTTTTCTCTTTGCCTAGCTGACTGTGTTGTCGTCGCTCTTCTTCAGTAGCACTATTCGGGTTCACGGGCGCCGCCATGAGCGATCGAAACGTCATCAGATGCCGTACTCGTCGCGAGATATCCGCACTTTCACAACAACAACAGAGCAGCTATTATGGTGCTGCAGAGATTTGTTTGCCGCGTCTGCTATATCGCTAATCCCGAGAACAAATTAACTTTAAAAACCAGATTTATAAACAACATTGTTACATCATCTGATACAATGTATATCGATACTTATAACTATTATTATACATATATTATACATATATTAGATTTAATTAAAGAAGATTGTGGTTTATATGGGTGTTGTGTGTGTGCTGTGTGCGATGCGTAAGCCGTTCGCGTGTGTGTGCGTGACGCTTGTCAGTGCGTGCGTGCGTGCGTGCGCTGCATAGTTGTCGTGAGTGAAATACGCGGGTGTGCGTGTGTGCGGTGTGTGTGTGTGTGCGCGCGTCGCGTGCGTTGCGTGCGTTGCGCGCTGCGGTGTTTGACTGTGTGTGTGTGTATGTGTGTGCTGTGTGTGTGTGTGTGCACTGCTTGTGTGTATGTGTGTGTGTTTGTGTGTGTGTGCTGATGTTTTGTGTGTGTGTGTGGTGTGTGTGTGTGTTTGTTTGTGTGTGTTGACTGTGTGTGCTGTGGTGTGTGTGTGTGTGGATGTGTGTGTGTGTGTGTGTGTGTTGTGGTCGCTGTGTTGTGTGTGTGTGTCGTTGTTGTAGTAATATTATGCATAATTCTGCGCTCCTATAGCGGACAGTCAACCTTGTATGGCTCTTGTACTCACCTTCGGTGCCTATTATTAGCCTGCGTCCTTCTTTCTAGATTATTTGCTTCTACGATTCTACTCCTTCCGCCCGAAGATC